AATTTACAGATGCATAAACCTCGTAGATCTTGAGTTGTGTGCTCATGAAATTGTGAGGTGTGATGGAAAAATGGACTCCACAAGCAAACACCTTAAAAGACTCAGCTATAATTTTCAAAACCCATACACTATTCAATTATTATATATTACATACGTAAGACCTATTCTGGAATACTGTAACCTAGTATGGAATCCGTACATCGCGGTACACGAGGAACGCATAGAATCCGTCCAAAAACAATGCGTAAATTGAATTGGACCGCAATTCCTCTTCCATTATATGAAGCACGCTGCATGCTCATCAACTTACAAACACTCAAAGAAGGCCGCAAGTTTGCAATAATTTTCTTCGAAAATATCCTACTTCGAAAATCAAGCGTAAGCTTGATCTTTGATGAGATTTGATTTTTTTTTTATATTTTTCCAACACTGAGGGGTATAGGTATTTCAATACACAATTAAAAAGTGTTCAAAATATGAATCAGAACGGTACAATAGTAACAGCATGCATGCATAATTTGAAACTTAAAAAAGAATATAATACAGTCTTCAAAACCATAAAGATATATTGACTAATAAAGACATTTGTTTGATCGAAATGTTCATGTTACTTTGGCTGATAGGCACTCAAATGTAATGGGATGTATCATTTATTTATTTATTTTGTCAAGCAAAGTAGACTTCACACAATGATTATAATGTTTTACTCACATGCTATGCATTATTTCTATTACCTCTTAATCGAGTTTTTATTTGGTTCCTGGACATAGTGATTTATTTATTTATTATTATCTATAATGATCTGACAAACATGGTCTACATGATTTAAACGTACAAAAACAACTATACTAAATTGCGATTACGTAAACGACATTTAAATGTTTCACAGCTAACGTTAAAGTCAAACAAGTGGAAAACAGAGTTAAAAATGTTACACATAGCACATATTGGTTCGTTTTGACCGTAAACTGTCCGGTGAAAAGGAAGACGGAGGAAGTTCGTGGAACGAAGAACTCTCGAGGTAACGTTCAAATTCAACTTAGCCAAAATGTTAGGGGAATCAATTATTCCGCAAAGTAATTTTCCAACAAATACAGCACGCATGTCATCTCTCCTTTTAGCCAGTGTGTCCAATCCTAAAAGCTTGCATCGGTTTTCGTATGGGGGAAGTACCACCGGATCTATCCAGGGAAGAGTTCGAAGCGCAAACCTAATGAACTTCCTCTGTATAGATTCAATCCGTGCTGACCAGATGTCGGTGTAGGAGCTCCAATCTGCCGCCGCCGTCTCCAGGATGGAGCGTACAAGCGCATAATAAAGAGATCTTAAACAATACGGGTCACGAAACTCCTTTCCAACTCTCATGATGAAACCAAGGTTTTTGTTCGCTTTAGCAATAATACTATTGTAGTGGTTATGGAATGAGAGTCCGGTGTCCAACAGAACTCCAAGATCCTTCACAACTGTCACACGCTGAACTTGCTGGCAATTTATGGAATAAAGATATTCTATAGTGCTCTTCTTTCGGCTGAAACTGATTACAGAGCACTTCGGTACGCTGATATTGAGCAAGTTGCAAGCACACCATTCATAAAACGTGTCAATCAATTTCTGCATCTTAATGCAGTCATCAACTGTACGAACCTCAAGGTATATTTTAAGGTCATCAGCGTACACGATTTTGCATCCTGGAGGAAGTAATAAGCACACATCGTTGAAATAAAGCGAAAAGAGTAACGGCCCGACGTTGCTGCCCTGAGGGACACCTGATGTACAGTGGAAGACTCGCGACTCAGCGTTTCCCAATTTCACAGAAAGTGAGCGATTTGCTAGGAACGATTCTAACCAGCACACAAAAGCATCGGAAGCACCTAAGTGCCTTAGTTTAGCCAACAATATAGCATGATCAACACGGTCAAATGCTGCTCCGTGTCCGTGTACACCGTATCGACTTGTGCTCCTTTCTCCATGTGTTGCAGACAAAAGGAGCAGAACTCCACTAGATTTGTGTTATACGACCGTCCAGGGAAGAAGCCGTGCTGATCAGTTGAGATATACTGCGCAACACTACGCTGCAATAAGCCTCCAATTAAAATCTCAAAGAGCTTTGAGCCAGCACAAAGCGAGGTGATGCCACGACAGTTCGTAACATCTGCTCTGTTTCCTTTTTTGAACACGGGAAAGATGAATGACTTCTTCCAGCATTCGGGAAAAGTTTCCTGACGAAGCGACTGATTGATGATCATCTGTAACGGTTATAGCGAAGTAGCACAATTCTTCAGAACAATCGAGGGTATTCCATCTGGACCAGGAGACACTGACGATTTCAACTGTTTCATAGCATCTTCAACTTCGTTTTGTGTGAAGCTAGTTATGGTTATATCACAAACGTTCTCAGGAACGAATTGCAAGGCTTTCTGGACCTCTTGAGCTGATGCCCTGCCAGAGGCGAAAACACCAGAGAACTGCTGAGCGAAGAGGTTACAAATATCTTCAGGTGTGCTGGCTGAATGGTCACCTAGAACCATTTGCGCTGGAAGAACACTTTCTTTACGTTTATCGTTGACGAAAGACCAGAAACGTTTTGGATTTTGTTTCAGCTCATTTTGCTTACGCAAAACATATGTCGAATATAGATGACGGCTATAGTTTCTATACCGGATGCTGGCTTTAGAAAAGTTGCGTTTGGTGATCACATCTTGCGCACGAGAGTATTTCTTCAAAGCAGCAGAACGCTTGCGTTTAAGCCGTTGAAGCCGTGCATTTGACCAAACTGGCCTAAACTTTGGTCTGGGTCGAGGGACATATTCACGAAGAAATGATGTCAGTGTTTGGTTGAAAAGTGAAACAGCCACATTCACGTCAGCAACATCCAGAAATGACCAATCTGTGGTCCGTATAGCATCACTCAAGCCAGCATAATCAGCACGATAGAAGTTGAACTCCCTTTACTCAGGTATGTCATTGTACCGAACCAGAGGCGGACAGCCAAGGTTGACCAAAACTGGAGGATGGAACGGGTCAGCATCAATAAGAGCTTCAGGTGTTTCAATTACATCACAGTGTTTAACTGCATCGGAATTAGCAAATATCAAGTTCAAGGTTCGGTTCAGGTAATTCACAGTAGGGTTTATCTGCTTCATGTCGAGTATTTCATTCGATTGATGGGACCATTTTTTGCGTAATTTGTAATGCATGTGTTTTCATGGAATAATTGTCGAGTTCTAAGAGGTCTAATGGGCACATAAAAATTTAATTGAGAGAGTATTGCTTCAGATGCTATGCGATGAGAAATAATGTCATTGATAAAGAAAAGCATTGTTAATTAACGCCAAATTATTAAGAACAAAAAAAGTTATCCATGGACCAAATTTTACAAAGCTCTGGTTTAAAATTTCTATTCATACCAGTGGAAGTCGGAGTCCATGTTGGAGTCGGTACTTTTCTCCGACACCTTGTGTTCAAAAAATGCGTGTGACTCCACCACTCCGAAAAGCAAATATCACCTATGCTCTCCGATTAATGCTTTATATCTTCAAACAAACGACTGAAAATGTTTTTCACAGAATTTGTATTAACAAGATCTATGTTTTTTTTCATAACTTGGGTTCGTCAAACCAAAACCAATGTTATTCTTTGTAAATCTCATTGGTTAAATCTCTCAAACTCTGTTGTAGAAAATGTATGGCTCATTTGCTTAAACAAATAGAGAGCTTCCATCACTACTCTAAATGAGTTGCACCACTTTGCAAGAATTAAATAAATCCAAAATGTTGCATCAGCTGACAGCCTCAGCAGCATCGACGCAACCATCCCAAATTTCAAATCGCCCGCGGTAATGCAATCGAGTTGCTACTTCTGCCCAAAACCTTGCTCTTAGTTTTTCGTTTCACCACTCCAGAGCAGCCGGCGTCGCTCAATAAAACAGTTTATTAAATCTCCTAATCCCAAACAAAAATAAAAGGCGTTTCCTTCGGTTGCGGTTACCGGCTTTTTTAAACGCACAATCCATAAACGCTCGAGACTGTGGTGCAATTGTAAGTTTGTTGGTAGCGCTTAAAAAACGGGGTGTGCAGCGTTTTGATAAGTCGGTTCTTGAAAGAGGCAAATGTAACAACATTGAAAGAGAAAATCCTCCGGGCTAGGCCGGATCAGCAGACAGGCTGTAAAAACATCAATTTATAATCATGTTTAAATTATTGTTGTCTGCAAGGAGAGGGCTATCGGTAGAGATTGGAAGGTTTGGAAAATGCGCAACTGTTTGAATCCCTTTCCCCGTCCTCGGAGATGCTAGATGCAGGCGAAATAAACTGTTACCATCACTCATTGCGTCGCATCGGCGTCGAGCTGCTCTCTCTCCCCTAAACATGCCTGTGTGAAGACTCTCAGACAAGGTCGCATTGAGCAACGATCGTCAGTTGTTATTATTATTTTATTTTACGCTTTATTGAGAGTGATTAGGTCTATCGTTTTTTTTTTTTTTGAGCGCCAATCCCTGACGAACGGTATTCAATCAAAAAATGTGTGCAAGTTTTTTTTTATGATCTTGGCTGGAGGTCCTTTTTTTGTTCCCTTGTATTCAATCGGTGGGATTGTCTATGTGGCGTGTCGAGGTGATTATCGGCTCGGGTGAATCTGGTTTTTTATTGCCCATCCATTAAATGACAGAGTCTATTGAAAAGCGATAAAAGAATGGATAGGAAAAATCGGAGGTGCATAAATTTTTGACCCACTATGCTTCTGTTTTGTGTGAACAGCAATCGATAAAAGGGCATTAAACACATCGTTCGATTCTCTGGTATTGTTCTCGTTGAACCATTTTGATGGGAGTGACCGACGCGACAGTGCCAGAAGAGGGCTGGACTGGTCACAATTGAATGCTGCTTTTTTGTATTATCGATTGCATATGTTTTATTGAATGGTGAAAAACTAAGGGAATTAGTCAATAGTTGTTGATTCATTATTTTGATCGCTTTTTCAATTCTGTTTTTCTATTTCAGAGTTTATCCAACCTCAACATCTTTGGCCTTATATTCAACAAAACCTAATCCAACAAAACCATCTAGTAAATCCAGCGTTTCTCGCAATCTCACACCATCAGTCTCATCATCATCATCCCCAGCAGCCCCTATCCCCTCATCAACCCCATCATCTAGTTCAAATAAATGGAACCTGTCAGGCCACAGGAAACAATAACAATAACAACAACAACAGTAACAACAACAACAATAGCAACAACGGCAGCAACAGCAGTAACGGTAGTAATTGCAATGGCAATAATAGCTGTAGTAACAACACGAGCGAGGCTGGCAGTTTGCCAAACAGTCCAGAGCTGCAAGATGATGGTTCTCGTCTTCAACAGCAGCAGCAGCAGCAGCAGCAGCAGCCTCGAGATAATAAAATCATTGCGAAACCACTCCCAAGCCGGCCGATGCCTTTCCTGCAGCATGGACTGAACCATCCACATCTGCACTCGCTGCTGGCCCACTGTCGGAATCCTTATCTGCCGGGTAAGTTGTTCAGAACCATCTCGCACATGGATATGTGCTGGATGAAGCTCTTTCTGGCTCGTCAACTTGACTTGTCCGTTTCTCATGCACCGCAGGAGGTCCTCAAGTGTTTCCACTGCCGCCGGGACAGGGATTTCCATGGGCGCACTCGACGCGAGGGAAACCCCGACGAGGGATGATGCGGCGAGCTGTATTCTCAGGTGAGTGGGGTTATTGCCTTTCGTGTGACGTTAGTATGATATATTTTGGGAGGAGGCGTTAATATTTACAAAGTTCAACCTATCTTGGACCGCTGTAAACTTACATGATCTTTATTTTTAAAATGACCTTCAATCACATGTGAAACAGCATGATGTACATTAGAGTGAATCAACTTTACCAGCCCCGGATTGGTTGGTTGGCTGTCTATAATAAGGAGATTTTCAGCTAAAACCAGCCCCGGGCCCCAACAACTGGGTCATATTGGAAGGAGTTAGTTTGTGATCTATTTTTGCAGTAAAATTGAAAAGTTATTATAGATGGTAGTGATGCATAAAGATGGCTATAAAAAGTTTAAAAACGCCCCTCAATTCCCATGGAATCCTTTACCCATAACTACTTCTCCTCAACATTCCCTATGAAATCTTACCTTGGAGAGTGGCGAAAATTTGAAATCCTTCATAGAATTCTCTTAGAACTATCTTGTGATTCATATTTCCGTGGAATGCTTATCACAATTCTGTTGGATTTCATTTCAGGATCTATTCATAGCGGCGCCGGTGGTGTGTGGTAAGCGTGATTATCTCTCACCCTAGCAGGCCTGGGTTCAATCCCAGTCGGCGCCGCCGGGATGTTCTGAGGCATAACATCTCTGATCACGCCTTCCTTCGGAAGGGAAGTAAAGCCGTTGGTCCCCGGTTCATGAGTTGATGGGTCGATAGGTAGGGTCCAGGTGTGGGAGCTGCCTTCCTGGCACGTCGGTAGCATTGGTGCTCAGCACGGAAAACAAGATCGACGGAAAACAAATCAAGGAAAAAAAAATGTCAGGATCTATTTGGAGTTCATTTGAGAATACCTAAAACTTAGGTAACAATAACCTTGGAGTTATCATTAAAATTTCAATGGAGCTATTCTCAGAGTTCGTTTCAAATTAGGGTCAGTATTTCCATGAGAATCCTTCTGAACTCTTCAGAATAATCATTTGATTCTGTTCAGTATTCCCTTCGATTTATTTATTAAATTTACTAAAATATTACCTTTCTAAGCTCCTCGAAATGTGATCAATTAATTTTCGAAATCAGGTGCATATATATCGGATATCGTATCGACAAATTTGAATCGACAATATCCATTACCGATGGCGTTTATAAACGATAAAAAACAGTTTTTGAAAGTTTTTAGAACCACCCTCCCTCTACAACAACATATTTACAAATTTTAAAACAAATTGTGTGACTGACGATTCTACATATTTGACAAAAAGGATTGTTTGTTAGCAAATGTTTTGCCATTCACTTCGCAATAAGAAGGTTATTCGGAATAATGAAATCATTAGTTTGATAATACAGGGTGTCCACAGTTAAATTGCATCATTTTAATAAAGCTGCAACATTATGCCTTTCACGTTAATTTTATTGAAATTGGCTGAGATGGCCTCATCGTGTATTATTTATTTTTTATACAATCGGTTTAGAGATTTATTTTTGGCGAGTACTTCTTAGTGATACAATTTAACAGTGGATACCCTTTACAGTGTCTTCCCGATTTTATTCCCAATTTAATGTTGCCAAAATAGGGATGTTGCCATAATCTGCAGTTATGTGTGTGGGATATTTTCCCAGTACAAAAATGATAATCATCATTATGAATATGCACACATAACATTCATAAAGTACATCATAGTAAATGTCTATTAAAATGCGATATGAGTGTCTAAAAATTATATATTTATATTTTATAAATGTCTTGAGCTGACCCTTACTTACTTAACGCTTAGGCCTTTGTGAAAGATTTCCATCCTGGGCGATTACTAGCTTTGGCCTTGACCGGGCCCCAAGTCAAATTACGGTCAACGTTCCTAATTTCACTGTTTAGGCTCCGACGCCACGAGCCTCTGGGTCTGCCTCTGCTACGATGTCCTGCTGGATTCCAGTCCAGTGCTTGCTTGCAGATTTCGTTTCCGCTCCGTCGTAGTGTGTGGCCGACCCACTTCCTTCCGTTCACAAATTTCTGTCTCTATCGGCTTCTGATAGCACAAACGATGACGCTCGGAGTTTGAGATCCAATTGTGGGGCCACCACCCAAGTAACATTGCAAGTTTTATCGAGGTTTTAAAGCATGCTACAAGTCTAAATCATGGTCTTCAGAACCCTTATAAAACCAAAATTGTTACTTGGGCAGGCACGAATTATGTACCGCAGGCATCGGTTGATAAACTCCTGCAGCTTCTGAGTGTTCTCCGCTGATACACACCATGTTTCACTGGCGTATAGCAGCACAGACTTCACGTTCAAGTTAAAAATTCGGATTTTGGTGCGTCGACTGATCTGATTCGCTCTCCATACATTTCGCAAACTGGCAAAAGCAGCCCTCGCCTTCTTAATCCATGCACCTATGTCGCTCTTGGTGCCGCCGTCCGACGCTATCTGGCTGCCAAGATATTGGAAGCTTTCGACTTTCTCCACTGCCTGCCCAGCTACCGTGAAATTGGAACAGTTTTCCGTGTTGACATTCAACGATTTGGTCTTGTTGACGTTGATGATTAGACCTGCTTCAGAGGAGCGTTCCACAAGGTCGTCGAGCTTACTCTGCATGTCAGAGCGTTGTTGTGCTAATAACGCAACATCATCAGCCAAATCGAAGTCATTGAGATGCTCCATAGTAATAGGCTGCCACAGCAACCCACGGTTCGGTACACGGTCAACGGCTTCAACCATGATCTCGTCGATTACGATGAGGAACAGTAGCGGTGATAATATACATCCTTGCCTCACACCCGCGATCACCCGAATCGGGTCTGATAAAGCTCGGTTGTGCAACACTCTGAATGAGAAAGGCTCGTACTGCGCTTCGATAACGTTGACGATCCTATCAGGTACTATCTTGCGCCTCAGAGCGTCCCACAAGTTTTCGCGGTTTAGTCGGTCGAAAGCTTTTTCGTAGTCAATGAATACCAAGTACAGGGACTCTTGGAACTCATTGACCTGCTCCAAGATGATGCAGAGCGTGACAATATGGTCCACACAGGATCTTCCAGTACGGAATCCTGCCTGCTGTCGTCGGAAAGTCAAAGTTGTTCAAAGTGCTCAAACCAACGTTTCAACTGGTCAGTGGGGTCGGTGAGCAACTGTTCAGTCGCGTCTTTCACAGGCATCCTTGGGTTCATCCTTGCCCCGCTCAGGCGTCGTGAATAGCCGAATACCGCTGACGGGCCTCGTTCTTGGTTCCTCGGGTCCTTGCTCGCTCTATCGCGGCTTTTGCTTCTCTCCGCTCCTCGATCTTTCTCCAGGCTTCATCGGTGATCCACTTCTTCCTCTGAGTGCGCCGCAATAAAGGCATTATTGATGCTCGTCCACTGCTCTTCTACGCTGCCACCTTCCGGAATATTAGCTGCGTGAGCCTCGAGTTCTTCGACGAACGATCTCTTCACTGCTGGGTCTTCCAGTCGGCATGTGTTGAATCGTCGCCCAAGTCTCTCCTCCCGCCGTTTAACCCACGCAATGCGTACGCGGATCTCACCGACCAGGAGATGATGGTCAGACGCGATGTCAGCGCTGCGTTTATTCCGAACATCAAGAAGGCTTCGTCTCCATTTTCGGCTGATGCAGATGTGGTCGAATTGGTTCTCTGTATATCCATCACGGGAGACCCATGTGTGACTTTATGCACTGGGTGATGGGGAAAGAGCGAACCCCCGATCACCATGTCGTTGTTGCCACAAAACTCTGCAAGCAGCTCGCCGTTCTCGCTCATATCTCCGAGACCATGGCGTCCCATAATGCGTTCCTAGTCCGAGTTGTCGGAGCAGATCTTCGCATTGAAGTCGCCTGTGTAGATCTAGAAATCACCTCTTGGAGTCTTATCCACGACAGCATTCAGTTGACTGTAAAAGTTCTCTTTGTCATGCAATTCGGCAGCATCGGCTGGCGCATAATATTGGATTATGGTAAGGTTTCGGACCCGTGTTCTGAATCTGGCAACGATTATTCTCTCATTGATAGGTTCCCACTTGAGGAGCGCAGCCTGTGCTTAGGCGTTGTTTAGCGCTAAAAGTCGTTGCAATAAAATCAGTTCGTAATCTTTCACTATAGGTTTCTGTAACAATTTGAAGGTTTCGGAGACAGTAGGTGGTTGGTCTAAGGTCTCCTATCCGCCGTGATGGGACTGCCATCTTGGGTATAGCTTTCGGGGAGAAGCATTTCGTATTCAGCCGCTGGATGCCAGTCAGACGCTGTTTGAGCCACGCCTAACATGGAAAACAGACGCTCGGGTTTTGAAAGCCACATCTTCCGAAAAGGATGCTGCTCCCCCTTCCCTGTCAGCATAAGACCAAAGTTCCCACCGGGGTTGGCTACCCGATCTTCCCTAAGGTTACTCGTACCCCAGCCGGCGCCGCGAGGAGGAGGGGATAGGAGTTACTGGGCAAGAGGCTAAGGACCACTTTCACTTGCGTGACGGGTCTATTTTATAACCTTCAAGTACGCGAAGTACCGGTGGTACGCATTATCTCAGTCATTTTCCAGCCTGACCCTTGAGTTCCCTGAATTTGATTCTTAAACCAATGAAGCTGTTTCATAAAGTTTCTAAAGAAATCGCAATAAGCTCTCAGTAAAAATATTCGAAGTTTGAGTTGACTAATAAGACCTCATGAGCCCCAGACTTAAACCGTTAGGAGTTCATTCATAACTCATATGTAATGTATATTTGAAATGGACCCATAAGGTCTCTGAAGTAGACTTGCATGGCATTTAAATTATTTTCATAAGCCCTCCAGCACACATATAAGCTCTCTGAATTTATCTCAGTATCCCTCTGGAAATGATCGAAGCAAATTAATTGAATGACCTTGCCCGTTTCTTTTGAGATTAGGCTCCAAATTGACTTTTATGCAGATTACTATAAAATCCGAAGGATCGAAGAGGAGTTTTCCAAATCCAATAGGGTCCAAACAAGGATCGAAGAGGAAAAAAATATGCTGACGGTGGAATTTCATATGCAGCTCAATCATTTGTAGTGAATTGATGAAATTCATAATTGACCGCTTCTTATTAGATCCAGGATAGCGAAATGTACCATGTCCCTAGCTAAGTTTTTCAGAAAAAAAATCTTATGTACTCTACTCGTGCCAAGAGTTCCCTTATAACACTTATTTAAGCTGCATCTATTGATTGTGGCAGTTTTTTATACTCTTACTAACATGGAACCAGTTCAAGAGGAATTCTTTTGGAATTTTGTGCAGAATAAATTCTCTTATTTAAAGGCCTATGGCCCATAGCTTTGAAACGCGTTGATCAATTTTCACAAGTTACTCATCAAAGTATAATAAACTAAATTTTTATCCAATTAAATGAATTAGAAGCTATCCATATTTGTGTACAACGTTGTTAAAAAAGAGATGCAATGTGCCGAGTGCGTTTAATAGGGCGGAAAGATAATTTTAACCCCATGCGTTACTTATTTGGCAAATCTTGGTTTTGCATTTTAAAACTTTAAAAAACATTACTCGATTCAGAAAAAAAATTACATTCAGACATATTTCACTGTAGACTGCATCTCCAACTAACCGACGGCTTGACATTACTAACAACTGTCCTCCATATTCCATAGATTCCCAACGGAAGGGGCTGGAGAAACGATTTCAGCTGCAGAAATACATCAGCAAACCGGACCGGAAAAAGTTAGCCGAGCGACTCGGATTGAAGGATTCTCAGGTTTGTACAAACAACATCATGTTCATGTATCAACCAAACCACACAAACTATACACATAAAACAGCGCCATCTTCTCCTTTCTCACGGGCAAGCTCCCGTGGGTCTGCTAATGATTTATTCATCTGTTTACACTGGTCTTGTTGTGATTTCTTATTTTGTCATTTAATTGAATTTCCTGCTCGTACATAAATATCCAAACATAATCCCCATTCACGTGAAGGAAAAAAAAATACCACATGGAGGGAAAAGAGATGAATTTTATAGCAGTTATCAGCATATTCTTCAAAGCAAAATGAGATTATGGACCCAGCACTACAATGGGATATAGACGGCAAACAAAAAAGCCACCTAAGAGGAGCGTCGTCTCGATGGGCGGCTGTTTGCAGATCGGTTTCACCCTTGTGGCTCATCTCATAGCAACGGTGGCTACGGTCGGTGGTCGGCGCTTGAGGAAAAAGAAGAGAAAAATTCTGCCGCAAAAACATAAAAGAATAATGCTCCGCCTTGCTTTTACATACAAAACCAGTATATGCTACCACCGTCGTCGTCGTCGTCGTCATCATCATCATCATAATCATCATCGTGATCATCATTGCACAGCTGAAACCTATTTTTTATATCTGCTTTCGGTGCTGGGTAGCGCTTTATTTATTGCCGCTGGCAAAAAGTGGCAACAACGGTTTCAGTAGTGGTTTGGTTTGTAAGAAGAAAAACCAGCTTCTCGCCAGTACCTAGTAGGTAGAACCGGCACAGTTCATCTTCTCTCCGATTCAAATCGTTTGAATAATTTGCCCGTCATGAGTATAAGTGGAGTGGTTTTTCCTTTTGACTCCAATGAAGTAGTAGTACATAAGTCGATGGGAAATATGGAGGAACATTTCTCCTTGGGATAGGAGAAGATGGGGAGAATTGTGAGTGCGAGAGAGAGAGAGAGAGAAAGAATTTCGGGAGGGTTTCCTTTAGTGAGCGAAGCGAGTAGTGCGCAGTCGCCTTCACTTGTATGTAGGACTCGGAAGGGATTGATGGTGATGGTGCTATGGTTTCGCTCTCACGTGGCGGGATGATAATGGACTGCTAGGACTACATATAGCGATGATTTGTGCTACTGGTGTGGTCGTGAACAATTATTGCAGGAGTAATTTGGATGTTTCTGCGAATGCTAAAGATTTATTCATATCATGGAGTTTTTCTTGTGGTTCACTGATGTGAAAATTAAATCGAAATGATCGCTTTAGTTGTCGATACCATTACCCAAGTAACAAACAAGCCTTGACGCATAGACATATTGCAAACATTAGATGTTTTTGGTCGATCATTGGTAAAAACGAAACTGTAATTGTGTGCTACCAAAGAACTTCACTTCTTTTAAAATATGTTGAAAATTATGGATATCTCCAACATCGCATCATCGGTTTTCTTTTATTAAAAGCATAAAATTGTAGTCATGAACACCTCAGAATTGTTGTCATGGTGGTTAGAGATGCTTTGGCTCCGGAATAGCCAGTTATTGAAAATAAACATTATTTTAAATCATTTACTAATAGAGCGCAAAGGGTAATTGTATCTACCGTATGCGTGATAATGTTTCCACCATCTTACAAATAAGGTTCCCGTTTCACCTGTGTTTCACCATAATGTCTTGGTTTTCTTTGCATGCACGTATCCTATAGCTCATACCGTAGTAGGCTGTTTATAAATGAAAATGATTTACTTAGTTTGACAGTTGCACCATGACGAAGTGGCAGCGTATTCGTGGTTTGTCCCACGCGCAAATGTCGCAAAAAGACATTTCAATCGCCGTGGGAGTGTCTCGGTGGACCATCAAAAGGGTTTTAGACCGAGAAAAGAAAGGACAACTCTCCGCGAAGGTGGCCACAGGTCGTCCGAGGTCAAGTCGGGTTCCGAGGGTTATTGCTGCGAAGGATATGTGGCCGCCATCCAGCCCCGATCTTAATCCGCTTGCTTAATTACTCAATGTGGCGTGTCATGAAGGCTAAGGCCTGTTCTAAACGCCACCCGAGTACAGCAAGCCTCAGACAAACATTAACCCGTACCTGGAGAGAAATTGATCTAGACTACATTATTAGAACCTGCCGTGCATTCCGGAGGTGTGTGGAGGCCATAATTGCTCCACTCGATCTGTGATTAACATAGTTTAAGACTCTGAGAAATATCCCCCTTTGAATAAATAAAAAAAAAACTCGAAAACGAAATTTTTGAGATTTTTTATAATTTTTGCATTGTTCAATGGTGCAAACATTATAACGCATACGGTAGGTCCGAATAAATCCGTTGACAATTCATAGTTTACATTTACAAGGCAAATTAACAATACCCTAGCAGCACACTTGCTACTGAACAAATGTGGTTACTTGTGTGCAACCTATTCCAGTCACAACCAAGTTACAGCCACTTATTTCGATGGAAGTGTGCCGCTTGGGTAACTTATAAGGAATTTTACAAAATTTCAATCGGATATGCTACAAGTTATTCATAGGAATGCCAATACTTTAACTATGTCACGCTAATTTGAGGAAAAATTAAGCCCCCACCCCTATTTCGTCATGTTTTTCCTTTACCTAATGCATTGCTTGTCACAAAATTGTTCACCCCCCTCCTCCCTTTGAGCGAGTCCAAGGGCATAGCAAGTTTTTAAATAGCATTTTTTTTTTAAGATGAAGGATTAGGCCAGATGCGAACAGGCTGAATGCCATTTGGTCGAGTGCTATCATGTCGAATGTGATTAGGCTGAATCGAAATTAAAATTTCTGTCACACTGCAAAAGTATTTTTCACATTTGCCTTCCCAAGTAACAATTTCGGTTTTATAAGGGTTCTGTAGACTTGTAGCATGCTTTAAAACCCCCATAAAACTTGCAATGTTACATGGGTTATGACCATATCCAATCAGCAATTTACAGATTTTTCTCTGGAGTTTTGGAAAGTTTTCCGGTTTGTGCAATGCGCCTTTGGATTAATCATAAAACCGAATGCAATTGAAGTGGAAGGATCACTAACTCACATAAGCTATTACAAATACAGAAAATGTTGTATTTATGTTAACTATCTTCAAAGTTCAAATAGATCTTTTTATAAAGTTCTTTTCGCATAGTTCTATTCAGCATTCCTCTAAAATAAATTAAAAAATCTCTTTGAGGTTTTCTTCAAATTTTATGCAGACCACTCCTGACAAAAGTCATGGAATTCACCCTAAGCTTTAAAACGAATTTATTTAAAATTTGCATGGATTCTCCATCGAATTGTTATGCAATCCATCTAAGAAAAGTCTTTAAAGTCTGCTCAAAATCATCCATATTCTTCTAGAAATGTCTTTATTCGGAATTCCCTGAAAATTTTCTCAAAATATCATTTATTTAATTTATTTAATTTGTTTTTCTTCATCGGACTTAACGTGTCTAAATGAATCCTGATGGGGAAAAGCCTAGAAAAGGCGTAAAAAAACCCATATCTTTTCGAAATACATGAATCACAATAATACAATACAATTACAACGAACATCAATCAAGTCGATAGCAATAAAGGATAAAAAAAAAGTTATCCTCCTATGACATAGAGTAGTCCGTGAATCTGGTAGAAGTCCCCGTCATGCAGTTGAACCGGAAACAAAAAATAAACAGGTAGCACAATCCTTCACGTGTACATTAAATGGACAGCTACTCACCTTCTCAGAAGTCTGCGTTGAATACGGTGACGAAAAGTTTCTGCTGCACAGTTAAAGTCGAAAAACTCGTAAAACTCGTTGAAACGCCCAGACATGAACCGTATTGGGTCATGCAAGCTGTAGTTTGCAGCACGGTGTCCAAGATGCAGGAAACTCCTCGACCGAAGAACTCGTTCGGGTGCGTAGATTTCGAATTCAGCCAAGATTCCTGGAGTGTCGAGAGTATTTGCAACCTTGCTGGATAGTCGATATCACCAATAAGTACTTTCGCTGCGAACACGGCCTGACTAATCGTCCGCCTATGTTCTAGTGTTTCAAGACCCAGGAGTTGACAACGATCTTCGTACGGCGGAAGGTTCACAGGGTCATTCCAAGGAAGGTGACGAAAGGCATACCGAACAAATTTCCTTTGAACAGATTCAATCCTCGCTATCCAAACTGCTTGATACGGGCACCATACTACCGAGCTAAATTTCGAGATCGATCGCACTAGAGAGCAGTATAGAGCTTTTAGACAGGCAGGATCGCGAAACTCGTCAGCGATCTTGAAAATGAACCCGAGTTGCCTGTTAGCTTTCGCAACGATGCCCGAGTAATGAAGCTTGAATGTTAAGGCGCAGTCCAGCGTGATTCCTAGGTCACGAACATTGTCCACACGTTGCAGAAGTTGGTGATTTTATCGTATAGTTGAATGCCACTGGTTTCAGCTTGCGATGAAATGAGATAATATTACATTTTTGTACATTCAACGTGAGATAGTTTCTTGAGCACCAGTCTTCGAAAGTATCGATTAGGTGCTCAAGCCGCAAGCAATCGGCGAAGCTAAGAACAATCACATAGATCTTCACATCATCCGCGTAGAACGATCGGCAACCAGTTGGGAGGATCAGTCCGGCCTCATTCACAAAAATCGAGAACAGCATCGCTTCAGGATGCTTGAGGGGATCCCGTCAGGGCCAGCAGCATTAGTAAATTTCAGCTTCTTGATAGCGGATTCGACGAGGTCTACTGTAACCGAGGTAATCGAAAAATTGAACGCATCACTGGGAGTATTCCTCACCGCTTCAGCAACTTGGGACAACGAAGCCGTAGTGTCATTGAAAATGCTTTTGAAATGTTCTGCCAGAAGATTACATTTCTCAAGGGAATTGCTGGCGATTCTATCACTCAGGTGAAATTCGACTAGCCCCTCTTCGTTTCGTTTGGTATTCACGAATGAACAGAACTGCCGTAAATGAGCCTGCACACGCCTTGTGTAGCTTCTGTAAAGAATGCGGTTATATGTGCAATATTCGTTGCTCGCTGTTGAAAATAATCGT